TGCCCGATATAGCTCGGTTCATCTTTGTTTGTCCCGAATGCCCCCGACGATCTGTTTACGATCGTCAAGAGAAAACAAAATGGCAACGAATAGGCAACAGAGAAAGTTTGGTTTCGGTTCGGATTTTGTTGATCCCGACATTTTAGAACTAGACGATAATGATTTTGATATTGAAGACATTGAAACTGTCGACTCAGCCGTCCCTGAAGAGGACGAACAGCAGTATTGTTTCATGCGAGAGCCCACCATGAACGTGAAAGCTAATGTTAAAGAAGTCCATTTTTAACATCGAATTACAGCGACCGAACTTTTCCGAACATTTTGAGCTTTGTGCCATCTGGAAATTTCACTCAAATTGAACATCGGATAAAAAAATTGTCATCCGCTCACACCGGGTTTACTGGCAATATTAAATTAAAATTGTTAACAAATGCAGAAGATCGCTACAAACATGCTCGTAAACTTGCCTAGAACATACGGATCTGCGTTAAACTTTTGATTTACAACTTAACATTGCACCAGCTCACGGGCAAGGTCTGTATTTTTTTTTTGACCAAATATAATATAAAATTCAAGATTTGAATCTTGTTGTGAAAAATCAAAACTAAGATCGGGCGGCAACTCAGCCAAGATGAAAGTACGTCTGCCTTTTCATATATTTAAGATGAGTACAATAGAAAGACAATGCGTCTTATTAGGTGTGAATCACCGTGCAGCCTCCATCTCTAGTACGTCCATGAACAAACAGACTCCATGTACATGATAGATATGCACACCATGTGTACATCTCTGCTAGTATTAAGACCAACATGCTGCTCATTATACAAATACTCATTGAATGAAGCTCCACCATATCATATGTCAATAAAATAGCTACTGTGGCTTATATGAGTCACTGCTACTGATAACAATTGACATACCGGTAGTGATTAAATCAGATTTAGTTAGCTTAGATTCTTTTAATAATTGAGGAAATGCGCAATAATATAGGGTATATTATTAGGTCTCCCATTGTATGGTAATTATGTACAAATTGACATTCATATGTGGGTAGATACAATTATGTGATGTTTCTGATCATACCTGCCATCCCATTCCTTCTATAGACTGGTCTGGAAACAGTCTTGTATCCAAAGCTTAGTGTGTGAGGATTTTTCCATGAGCATATATATGTGAACAAAATCTTTGGATATATTTTCTTTAATGTTCCTGATAGATTAGCTTGTATTCTATGCAACGTTAATTGTATGCACAACTACATTTAGATGAATGTATATATCCACAACAAGCAAAGTTAGAAGAAAATTTCACACACGTGTGCTATACATGTATGACACTCTATATAACCCTACCATTATTTACTCTATTCAAAACACATGTAAACAACCAGTTGCATTTATTTTATACATTAAAATATGATAACTGTTATGACCATAGACACACATTGTCATTCACGTAAGTACCCGGTACATGTGCTACTAACACCTACACCACAGGAAAGATTTAAGCACAATTCTCGCCTGAAGATTGATAAAAAATGCCATTGATTAATTATCCACTGGGTTTTAATTTTGATATTTTTGCTGATAAGCAAAATCAACTGTATTAAATTAATGTGAACATGTAAAACTCATTGTTTCTTTGACAAATTTGGGAAATTAAAACACAGTGAATATGCTGAAAATCAAAATAGTGAAATTAAACTGTCACTCACAGATTCATCAAATCAAGGTTTATCGATAAAAATATAAAAAAATATGTAAAATATCACTACAAAATTCAGGCCGAAAAATCATCATCATCCACTACTCAGTACTACCAGTAGGTGTGTGAAAGTAGAACTTTTCTAATATTTGGGTGACGTTAGGAAAACCTTGTAATTTGTATTGCCTTTAGTTTTAAAATAAATATGCTTCATTCAACAGATGATCTGTTGTAAGCAACACAGATTAAATGACTACTTTTAGGGATGTGTGTGGATAGCGAAAATTGCACAAAAGAATTATCTAAGTTTTGACATTTTCTCTTTGTTGTAGGTGAAGGTTTTGATGGGTATGGCACTGTAGCAAAGAAAAGAAACCGACTCAGTACGTATATGGTAAACCCACCTAAGAAATCATCGGTTAAAATAAGCTTGCCAGAAGATTTTCGAAGAGTGTCAGCAATTATTGATGTGGATATTGTGCCTGAAAGCCACCGGCGAGTACGGCTTCACAAACATGGGTCTGAAAAACCGCTTGGATTTTATATTCGCGATGGGACAAGTGTGCGTGTGACACCTCACGGGTTGGAAAAAGTCCCAGGAATATTCATTTCTAGGCTTGTTCCTGGTGGACTTGCAGAGGGTACAGGACTATTAGCTGTAAATGATGAAGTGTTGGAAGTTAATGGAATAGAAGTTGCAGGAAAAACATTAGATCAAGTAACGGACATGATGGTTGCAAACAGTTCAAATTTGATAATCACAGTGAAACCAGTTAATCAGCGAAATAACCTAACACCGCGGCGTACTCGGCGAGGTTCTTTAGACAGGAACTCAACAATATCGGGGGGCTCTGGACCTTCCACACACGATTCAACAGTCAATAGTGATGAGGAGGACATAATACAAGATGTTGCGGAGAATGTTATTAAAACTGATGAGGACAGTGCCGTGTACACCCTATAGAATAAAAGATGGCCAGGCATGTCTCACTCTGCTGAATGATAATTATACTACGTGTAATAACATCAATGGCTCAAGTCTGATAACTCGTATACTGACTGCTTTGTTAGTACAGACTTATCAATATGCAAGGTCATCTGTTATTTGGGTGCTGCTTTTGTTATTGTGCTATCAAACTAAACTATTATAGGGGTTTATGTCAGAGGTTAGTATCAATACATGGCATGTCAAAACATCTCATAGCTGAGGTGAGGTGTACCCTCACATTGTCATCACAAATTACTAACTCACCATAGTGGCATGGGTGCATGTATTATATAGTATTATTACAATCTATTCATAGGGTGCAGTTAAGCAATAATTAATAGCCAACCCTCCCATCCCTTGTATGGTCATACATGTATCTTTGTATTCAAAATACATTTTTGTTTGTTTGTTTGTTTGGCAAAGACCTTTACTCCAAGCGTCTGTATTTACATGTACTGAGTATGATGTCCTACCACAGTAATAGATTTCAGCACAGCTGCCTTGAATCAAATAATTCATTTTCTAGAGTTCGCTCTTCTTTTAATAATACCATGTACAAATAATTTTTAGTAGAAATTAGAAAATCAATTGAAACAAATCATGTATTTGAAATTTAATAATTTTTTTTTAATATTGTTCTTGCTGAATTTTTTCAAAAAGTAGTGTATTTTTATATAACTTGTTGATGTGCCTTAGAACGAATGAAATGCTGTAAATACGTAACAACTCGCAAGTTTGAATTGATGATCATTATTCCTCTTATTTTCTGCTGGTAGGGTTGTTTTTCCTGGGTGTTTACATGTATATTTATGGATTGTGGTCAGTTTGCCTGCCTGCCTGGTGTTATTTATTTATAAATAATTTGTTCTTTTCACTGACTCTCATAAACCTACATCATAACTGTATAGTTTTAAGACAGTCAAATGCAGGCACTGAAATATTTGAATTTTTTTTTATTTTGTGCCATCACATTTAGCAGTGTAATATTTCACATTAAATGTCATTATAAAGTATGTTCTAAGCGCTGTACACTGCCATCATCCCCTTGGCTGCTCCACTGTCCATGGACAGTCTCAAAGCTACTACCTTCAACATTTTTACATTTTTATTTTTAGTTACTGCACTTTGAATATGTTGTTTTTGCAACTTATTTACAAAAAAAAAAAAAAAAGAAACATTCACTAAATCCTCGCATTGTTTATAAAACAATTTAATGTTATTTTTGTGGCTACTTTAGCAAGTTCCCAAGTTTCATAAACACTCTCTCTTTCACATTGCATTTGACTTAAATAAATTACAAATAGAAAACATTGCTAGCCACAGAATACACAGGTTAATAGATATAGGTAAACACAGACAAATATTATTTATTATATTATCCACATATTTTATTATTCTACAATCCCTCCATAATTCACTTCAACTCTTTCATGATTATTTGGGGTTTTATTTTTTTTGCACAATCTCAGTATCATGAATATTTTGATGTAAATAACTTGGTGACAGGCGTGGTCGGTTTTGTAAAAGTATTAATTTAACCATAGATGCAGTCTTCTCTGTGTCTTTTATTGTTTGGACTTGTTAAAAACTTTTAAGAGTTTACATTTTGAGATGTTTTTAGTATGCAAATCATATCAGCTATTTCCTGACTATTTTTATGATACATGCATCTCATTTCAAATTTGAAGTCTGATTTTATTTTGTATGCGCTGTTATTTAAATTTGTCACCTTTTAATGTTTGTACTAATATACTTGGTATCTGCCCTCCAGGCCTTGCATATTTGGGATTTTTTTTGGCATCAAGTTTAAATATGCAAGTGCTTTGAATATTTTAGTTTGCATACATATTGATTATTCAAAACCAATTCTGTATTTGCATAAACAAATTTTGTGTGCAACCATGAATGATATTTCCACAGTGTGTATGTCAACATTTAAAATAAGAAGACTGTATCCGTATAATCTCTTTTATCCTGCTTGAGATTTTAAGTTTTGCTCCCAGAAATTCATCATTGATGAGAGGACTGGTCAAGATAGTGTCAGGAAATGGCAGCATCTTTGCTGACAAAAACTCTGCTGTCAAACTGTAAATTATTTTTTGTTTCCGCCTGTGCTACTTTGCACATTGTTTTTATATATTTCTTTTCTATGACAAACACTATCATATTTGTATCAGATATGGTTAACCTTTTCAGCACCAGTTCCCTCTTTTCCTCACAAATTCACAAAAAAGACCTGTTTATTGTCTGAACTCCCCTTCAGAAGGAACAAAATTAAAAAACTGGAAATTGACTCAGATTTGTCTGTTGCTTCAAAAGTAGTGTTCATTCCCAGAAATATTGAAGATTGTAAGGGGAAAAAAATGCATAACAATAATAACCAGAAAGTCTGGTGGTGAAAAGGTTAATGAGATGAGATGTCATCAAATATGGCTATGTTTAATGATGTCATCAAGTATGGCTATGTTTAATGTCATCATCTATGGCTATGTTCAATGATGTCATCATCTATGGCTATGTTTAATGTCATCATCTATGGCCATGTTCAATGATGTCATCATCTATGGCTATGTTTAATGTCATCATCTATGGCTATGTTCAATGATGTCATCAAATATGGCTATGTTTAATGATGTCATCAAGTATGGCTATGGCTATGTTTAATGTCATTATCTATGGCTATGTTCAATGATGTCATCAAATATGGCTATGTTTAATGATGTCATCAAGTATGGCTATGTTTAATGTCATCATCTATGGCTATGTTTAATGTCATCATCTATGGCTATGTTTAATGTCATCTATGGCTATGTTTGATGTCATCATCTATGGCTATGTTCAATGATGTCATCATCTATGGCCATGTACAATGATGTCATCATCCATGGCTATGTTCAATGATGCCATGAAATATGGCCATGTTTAATGATGTCATCATCTATGGCCATGTTCAATGATGTCATCATCCATGGCTATGTGTAATGATGTCATCAAATATGGCTTTGTGTAATGATGTCATCATATATGGCTATGTGTAATGTCATATTTGCATGACCACACCATTAAAGAAGCTTCTTTCTCTGATTTTCTTTTATGTTAAATATATGTATTCAATTCTGCCTTATAAATTATTATTCTATGTGTTTCATTCATGCTCTGTAAAAGTGCTGTGATTTATTGAAACGAGTGTCGATGCTACTCAAATCTCTATGGTGTATATTATTTATATCATTTACAGATTAGTTCTACTCAAATTACACACAAACAACAATCCTATGGGTAGAGTGGCCGCCACATCTTTAACCCTGAAAACGCTGTAGTTCAATATTTATTTCTGACAATATGTACATAACACTTTGTATTCTCCCTCCCTCATGTTACACTCAATTATCTGACAATAATGTATTCAATTGATCTTGCACATAAAACACTAAGAAGTCACTAATTTTAAATAACTTTACCCCTGTATTTTTAGAAATAAAATAAGTGACTCGTTACAACTAAATGTTTTTTTTGTCTTCTTTTTCTACATACTTGCGTACAAGTGCTGTTTTTCTCAACTAAGTAAGTTTTTTACCTTGCCCGTACCATCAAAGATGGAAGGGAAAGGTATATTAAGGGAAAAATTGTGTCCGGCGTTGTCGTCGTCGTTAATAATTGTTATTGTGTGCATAATAACTTTACTAATTCTATTCCAAACTTTATCAAACTTGGTCACCTTATTCATCAGTATAAAGTCTTCCCTGAGTTTGAACAACAGATGTCCTGTATGAAAATATCATGCAAAAATTGAGAAAATCTGATAAAATATTTTGACTGTTTTTACTTGACTGATCACTGGTGATACACATCAAAGGTCACTGATCTCAGTGGAAATATGCATTGTTGTATGTGTTCAATAAAGCAAATGATTTATCTTGTAATAATATCCTTGGTAATGTATCTCAGAATCCCATACTGGGTTTCAAAACCAACTCATGGAGAGATTGCACAGTCTGATACACATTTTCAAACCTACCAATAAAATCTTTACAGAAAAAAAGATGTCAGAAAATCAATATAAGCACTCCTATGAACTGGGTGCCTAACTTTGATCAAGATCTGAAGCTAATAGAAAATCTGTTTAGTTCAAAGTTATCAAATCAAAAACAATACATAAAAAATACATTAAAAGCAAAACATTTCATCCACATTTTAAAAAGAAAATTATTCTAAAATATATGTATTCTGCATTTGACAAACAGTTCA